TCCTGCCTGACAACCGTACCTGACAGATCTGGTGGCAGCGCCCACATCTCTTGCCAGGCGGCGTTGTGCCTGCCGTCTTTGAAAAGCATGGCACGCCTGACGAGTCCGTACCCTACAGCAGCAGCCTGCACCTGTCACCTTAGTCCTGGCAGTAATGGCTTGGGTAGTGGCGGATACGCCTGATGCGACTGGGCACCACTATATAAGGACTCCGACCCCCAAACCCAAAGGGGGAGGGAATGGAAAAAGGGAGTTCGCCACTAGGGAGCTCCATCATCCTCTGAGTCACAGGCCACTTGGGAGCAGGTCAAATGACAAGGTATTTAGCCAAAAAAAAATTGATACATCACAAAAATTGGTATGTGACCAGAAACGGTTACATCAGTGACATTTCCGATCCCCCATTAAATCCCTTATTTCTTCTTAAATATCTTTGAACCCCATTTGACCCTCTCTAATGAAGTAGGGGTCAGGTATAAATTAGAAGGGCTGGATCAAGACCAACCCCAAACATAGACCTTAGCATGGAACCAAGATGATGTCAAAACCCAAATTTGTCAACAAAGACCTAACAGGTAGGGGTGATCAAGGGTCGGGCCGGGCTTTGCACTTATGATAATGGCTATAGCTTAGGCCCGGCCCCGGGCTTCCGAGCCAATGTCGCTCATATATAAAACATTACATATCTACATATTAAATGACATAACATGCATATTAACTTATTTTATACATTATATAATATAAAATATTATATATAATATAAATTATACATGCCATTTTATAATATTTATATATAAAATATATAATATAATATAAAATAACATGTTAACATTATACACGAAATGTGTAAGTTTAAATATATGCGGGCCAGTCTAGGTCGGGCTTGAAATATTAAGCCCAAACCCAACCCTAAAATCTGTGTGCCTGATGTGGGCCTGGGTCGGGCCTGAACACAAAACCCAGGCCCGAGCCCAGAATTTCTGGGCTGGGCTGAAATGATCACCCCTACTAACAAGTTTTCCATTTTAACTCCTTGCACTGCATGGATTTACTTGCTAGTTATATATTAAAAGATATAGAGACCTAATACAAATTTATTTGAGTTGTCCACTTAAAATTCAATGATATCAGATGGTTATAATTGAGTATGTGATTTTGGCCCGATAAATTACTATTTAAGATAGGGGTACAACCTGGGGGTTACGGTTGGGATTTTGTCAAAATTTCAATGAAATTGACCTAAAGCCCAAGCTCAGAACAATGTAAAATGTTAGCTCGAGCCAACCCAAGTTACACCCCTAATTTAAGACCTATTTCTGATGAGTCTTTTGGCAGTATATTGATACCAAATACAGTTAAGCATCCTCAGTCGTTGGACCCAACTATTGAATGCTGAAGAGAATTGAATTAGATAATTGATTTTTCAGCATTTGATGGCAACTTGAGAACAGATGAAGTGGCTGAATTGAATGATATATTGCTTTGTCTTTTAGTGAATAAAATAATTAAGAAGCTTACAACATTTTAAATAGCTTATCCACGAAAAGACATAGGGGAAAGTCATTCAGTTTAACCCCTTATTATTAAATGCTGAAAATATATCAATGGCTGGGGGCTGGACCATTGTCCATGATCACTCTGTGTCCCTTTGTGTATGGAGGCATGGGGTCAAATCCACATAATTGTAGGCTCTTCATGATAAGGTCAACAGACCTCACTAGATAGGGCAATTTTCCCATTTCCCTTATCCCACAAGGACCCGCCTAGAAAGGAGTAGAGATGGAGATGATTTTCCCACGAGGTTGGGAATGGGGAAATTTCCATCCCTATTGACGGGGACGGGGAAAGCACTCCCCACCGATGAGGATCCCCTCCACCCCACATAGGGGTGTCAATGCTATTCGAAAATTTGATTTTGAATTCGAGATTCGAAATAATCGAATTGAATTTTAATAATTCAAATATCTAATCGGTCAAATGATATATATCTGAATTCAACTAATTGTTTAATTCTTATGTATAATATATAAAATATTTAAATATTTTATATAATATATATACTAATTAAATTATATAAATAATTTATATATTTATATACTTTATATAAATAAAATATTTATTTTATATATTTATTAGTTATCTAAAATAATTAATGGATCGAATTTGAATCAAGTCAAATATTTGAATATTTAATCAAATTCTAATTCGAACATTAATTTGTAATATCTATCAAATATCAAATTTTCTAATCGGATTTAAATTTAGATATTGCCTTGCTCTATTCAATATCGATCGGTTCCCCTACATATCTATCTATATAAATCGTAATTATTTTGTTTTTAATTTTTTGAATGAAATAAATATAAAAAAGAAAATGATTTAACATCATAAAAAAATAGTAAAGGGAGTGAGGATCCTCGTGGGGATGGACGGTACGGGGGTGGGGATTTTCACAGGAATGGGGATGGAGAGTGGCTCCCTGTCCCTCCTCCTCCGGGTTGCCATTCTTAGACCTCACGTGCATCCTGCTCTTTTCCCACCACCCCTTAATTTTCTTACAATATATAATATGTAATACAAAACAAAACAAAAAAAAAAAAGAAAATGGCAGGGAATTATTTCAGTGCTGATTTTAAGAGAATTTTTGAATTAAGATGTTTTCAGAATTTAACATCTACGTCAGCATACCCTTTACCCAATATTTTCTATCTACTATTAATGCTATGACCATCATTCTATATTATGACTAGCAATATTAGTAATCATTGTCAAGTTTAAAGAGCAATAGTTATCATAGTGTAGGATTGATGGCACCAGTTATGATCCGCCTGGCAATAAATCCTAATAAAGCAAATAGTGATTGGTGCCCTTTAACATAAGTTTTTTTAACTTTAATTTATTTTATCTCTTTAATTATTACTAGTTTTTTTTTTTCTTTACATATTAGTGATGAAATGCACGTGAAAGGCAATAGAGATAAATGAGTAGAATAGGAAAATAAATGGAAAGAGGAGAGAGAGAGGGAGGGCGGATGGAAAACAAACGAATTAAAATTTTCACATGAGCGTTTGTATGTGAAATCAAGGCAAGTGTTGTGTTTTTCTGAGAACACGTATTATGTATATCTACGAATAAATATTAATTATATATGATATATGATATTTGGATTTAATTTTTATAATGTATAATCTATACCGAATCCAATGCAAATAACCGCTTTATATAGAATAGATATAAATATGTATCATTTGGTAGAAGGATACATGGCACAAGTGGTATGACCAAGTTTTGTCATTGTTCCACCTGTATCTACTGCAGTATGTCTATATTAGTCTACAATATTTAGCCATGTATTGATCCATATTGGTCAATATTCACTAATTCACTAATTCATGGCTAATAGCCTGATATATAGATATAAATATTTATTAAAATACTCCTATTAACTTTACAATTAAATTATACGACCTTAAATCTTGAAATGTAGTAGTTTGTGTGTTTTCGAGGTATCAATACAGTAAATAATGGGAATTGAGAGATTTGAATTGTTTTGAATGTTAATCTTTAATTTAATATATAGCATGTCAAGAGATCAAATAAAAAATTAAAAAAAATGACATGATTTTATGTTTTAACTTTCAGGCCCACTCTTGTGAACTTAATATTGTTATAATTTCATCAACTAAAGATAAAAAATAAATAAAATGAAATAATCAATTATTAAATTTTTTATTTTTTAGTAGAGTTAATGAAATAGGATTAGTTTAACTGACCCCACATAGTTGGAACAATTCTAACAAAAAAAAAGTTGGAACAGGGCTTACATGATGGTGATGATTATAAGTTTTTTTTTTTTTTTTGAAGTAGAAATAGAATTGATGTTGAAGGTGTCTCATTACGTGCATATTTTAATTCTTCTACCCTTTTACAAATTCCAACATTTCTCAAGTGGAGTCAAGATCTACTGCACTTAATCATGCACTTCATTAAAGGTGTCTCATTACATGTTTGTAAATAATACCCATGCATATGAGATCACTCATGTGATGGAACACCCATCACTGACTTATGGAAGTGCACAAATATAAAGAAAAAAAGTTCAAGGGATCTGTTCACCTAATTTCATCCAATAGTTCACATTTCACATGAATCATTGAATATGTGTTTCTTATGCATTTTATTCCTTTTCTATAACCATTTAAGCGGTGGATTTATTATTGTTATTCATGTGAATTTTATTAATTTATTCATGCATAATTTAATTTTTCTATTATTATATTTATATATTTTTAAAACGTATTTCAATATATCTCTTAAAATTACATTTTCTTATATTCTTTGCGATACCACTACTTTAATAACATTAATATATGATATGGAGGATGGAGCATTCATTCAAGACGGTTTGGGAATGCATTCTTCGACCAACCGAGCAAGGACAATTGGCACTTAGGAGCCCTAGGAAGGAGGTGGGCGATGGGGCATATGAGAAAACCAGCCAACCCAATTGCCTCTGAATGATATGATGTAACAAGGCCCTATTTTAATACCCTTGCAGTTTGTCTTTGTTCTTCTTGTTCTTGTTCCTTCAGCCTGTTCCATAATACCCTAAAACCCGTATGCCCATCTTAATTAATTCTATTTAAAAAATATTTTTCATTCAAAAAAAAAAAAAAATCCTGGATCTAAGATTGTTTCCTCAGCTTGCTGCCATGTTCTATCTATACTTTTATTCTTGTTGTTGTGACAATGTTGGCTATCATTTTTGGAATCAAGTTCCAGCAGATGGTGATATTGCTTCTGTAATTGCCATTGCTTTTGGGCAGAAAATCATTTGTACTAGCTTTCAAGTCAGGTTGATATGTGGACCCCAGAATGCAAAGAAGCTCTCATTCTGAAGTTACTGACTTCAAGAAAGAAAAGTAGGCCCACTGCCTAATCATTGACTATCAATTACTGGGGTATACTAGGATTCCGCTGATAAAGCCCTAGAAAACTGTGAAAAGAAGAGGGAAGGATGCTCAAGTTCCAAGATGAAACAGAAAAGGAAGAGATATGGGGAAGAACAGTTTCAAATTTACTACCTCCTGGCCTGGCCATCAGTTTATTCCCCTCTCAAACAAAACCCAAATGAAAAAGAGATAAAAAAAAAGGAAAAAAAAAAGCTACAAAATTCCAGAAGTACAAGCAATCCATTAAAGATGTTTACACCACCTACTTAGGATCAAACCCCCTATGCTGCTTCTGCTTCCTTCTTCTGTTTGTATAATGCCCTTCACATAACAACATCTGTGTTTTGTAAATTCCTGGCCTTTGTTGAGTATTCACAGGAGAGTTCTTGACTGCACGATTTTAGTGCTTCTTCTCAGCATGAAAGAATGACCAGCCTTTCTTTTATGAGCTAAAACAGTAACAAATGCAGGAAACTTGGCTAAAAAGACCCTATATATATGTTTGTCTGAGAAGAGAGAAAAGTAGAGATATGGTATGACAGATACCAAAGAGGATTGTGCCAATACGGCTTATCCAGCCAACACAGACACCACTAAGAGGGGATGATGGTGCCCACGTAGCCAAACCCCACAATAAAGAATGTAATGGCTTGGAGGGAGAGGAATATGAAGTAATTGTTCTTCCCATAGACAAAATCGTAGCAGGACACCAAGGCGAGGAACAATCCAAATGCAAGCTCTGTCAGATGGAGTCTGTTGATGATCAAACCATTAAACAACAAATGCTTGTTAGGATTGGTTTTAAACAAGTTCTGGGAAGCCACACCCAACAGGGTACCTGCTTTCAGCTTCAAGATATATGGAAGATGACAGCCTGCTCACCCTGAGATCTATCTGTGTGTGGCTTCACCACTGAAAATGGTTCGCATTTTGTATTGCAAACTTATTTGGTTCTGTAACATTTTGTGAAGATTGGTTTGCATAGAAATTTACCTTTCCCTGATTCTGAATCGAGGCTTTTTGGGTGCCTTGGAATTGGTTGTTTTTGATCCCAATTTCTCAGTGACAACCCACACATTTGCTTTCTTTGCCCCCAGAAGACCCGCAATTGTCGCCTTAGACCGGTGCAGAGCCATTACATTCTCGAATAGGACCCAGAAAAACAACAGGTGGACTGATCTGCAAGATTAGGATCAATAACTGATACAATGAGTGAATTGCTGGAAAAAAAGAAACCAAACTTATGTACATCGAATTTTCCAGGAAACAATTAATATGGAATTGCAGAGAGAGAGAGAGAGAGAGAGAGGGAGAGGGAGAGGGAGAGAGAGAGAGAGAGAGAGAGAGAGAGAGAGAGACCTTGGAGTTCCAACTGAGTTAAGGAGGGTAATGATGCAAGGCATATAAATGGAACCCCACTTTGGAACTTCGACCTCAGGAATCAAGACGGTTAATGGCAACACAATGCAGTAAAACACAAAGGTGATGATATGGGCAATGATCTTCCGAACAAGGAAGAAGCTGTAGATAACATAGAATTTCTTGAACGTAGTTACATTCTGCAGGAAACAATGAAGAAACCAAGTAAATTACAAGTGTACAAGAATTTACTTTCTGCAAACAACAAAAAGCTAAATAATAATAAAGAGAACCAGACCTTGTTTCTTATGATCTCCATGGCCATTTTCCTGAACAGATTAGCTGGTCCACAAGACCAACGATCCTGCTGATGGCGGAAGGCATTGAACGTACTTGGCAATTCACTTTTCACCTGTTTTTTCAAAACGAAAACTGCAATTCAGTATCAAAGGTGATTCAGAAACTGGTTTAGAAATGAAACCCAACAAGGCAACAAGCAGTCTAGAAAACAGTTGACTCGAGCGGGATTGACTTCAATTGACTCGGTCTAAAAGGTATCGTTTGTTCTTAATTATCTGGATAAATACGTTTAATAAGACAAGTGTTTTTTAGGTAAAAATTGCCCGAATAAATAAAGTTCTAGCATTCATAGAGTATTAGTTACCCAGGTAATTGATATTCTCCGACCTGATACCCTATATAGTGGCAAATTAACCCAGGATCATGGTCAATTAGTTGACCAAATATCCCTATTAAATACCGCAAACGAACGGGGCCTAAATATCTACTGTAAGTGCAGCAGATGCATATATTATACGGTGCTGCCGACGTATAGTAGATACCTGGAGATCACCAACGTAGAGAAATTTCCAGCCCTTGAGACTCGCTCGGACGGCCAGATCCATGTCCTCGACCGTCGTTCGGTCCTTCCATCCTCCGGCCGCTTCTATGGCCGCGATTCTCCATATACCGGCGGTCCCTGTATTATCGTTAATTTTTTATTATTTTTCAATGTTATCCAGAAAAAAAGTTATAAAAAAAGATGCAGAAGAAATAGAATTAATTGATTACCGTTGAAACCGAAGAAGGCGTAGGTGGACGAACCCACTTCCTGCTCCACCGTGAAATGGTAATCCAACGACATCTCTTGCATCCTAGTCATCATGCATTCGTCAGCGTTCACTGCAGCCAGCATTGCCACGTCAGCAATATTTTTATATGTATTAGAAAATAAAATAGATTAAATAAATTAAAATAAGTAATAGCGAAAAAAAATAAATCCAAGCCAAGTGTCGGTGACTGTGGGTCTTGGAGTGAGGGCCCACAAGGAAGGAGCTTGGAAGAATAATAATTGCACATGGAGGTGCCATGGATCGACTAGGAGTTGCCCCTTCGCCGTTTCACGTAAATCCAAACAGGCCCTTATAATTGACTCACTCAAGGTAAAAAACGGAACTGTTCTTCAGAAAATGAACAGACCTGCCCCGAAGATCTTGCTTTTCCATCCACTTGTTTCCTGCCGGGTTTGTCCGATGTATAGGCTTTTACTTTCGGCGAAAGGGTCGGGGTATTTACGTCATTAGAAAAAATTAACTGCAGAAGAAATTTCGCTTGAGCCACTGAAGTGGGGGTCTCTGTTTGGATGGTGGGTCCAATTATACGGTGGCCATCGTGTGGAGGGAAGGATGTGGGCCATGGCCATGGTGCGGGACCTATCCCTTCCCTCTCAATCTGCGTCAAGTCTCGCCACCCAGCGAGGGGGAGGTGGTCGTCGAAGATGGCGATAAAAAAGGGGACAAAAGAGAAAAAGGCAAAAAGAGAAAGAACAGAGGAACAAAAGACAGCAATAGCCGAGCACCGACACTTCGCTAAAATTAGTGAGTGAATTAAGGCAGCAATTAATGTCTAAATTGGATTTAGGGAGGCGAGAGCATACCGAATACCCAGCGGGCTTGAACGAGGGCTATATCTGGGTTGTGGACAAGGAAAGGGATGGATCGCCAGAGGAAGTCTGGTTCTGGTTGGAAATCTGCATCGAAAATGACGACGTAGTCGCATTGTTTAGAGTAGCTTCGCTTCAGTCCTTCTTTGAGAGCTCCTGCTTTGTATCCAACTCGGTTCTCTCTGATCTCATATTTGATGTTGATGCCCTTGCTTGCCCATCTATGGCATTCCAACTCCACCATACTCTGCAATTTTAATGCACAAAAGGAAACGGAAGAGCACCCAGATCAGAAATCGAAGTTGCTACGCAAATTTTAGTTGTCTAGAGTGTCTAGTACTGAAATAAGAATGAATCCAGATCAGAATTCAAACCTCAGAGAAATAAAATATGGTTTGCCTCTTAATTCAGTAGTTTTAGGTTAAAGATAGTGATTACTAGCCGTGTCCGAACTCTGACACTCAGATCGGAAAGAAGAAAGAAAAGATAGACATTCTCACCCAATGAAGAAAAGAGAAATCTTCTTTTCTTTTTTCTGTATTCTGTGGTTTCGAGTGAATACCTTGATGGTCGGGTCTGTGGAGTCGTCCAGAACTTGAATTATGATTCGATCGGAGGGCCATGAAAGGCCGCATGCAGCTCCAATGGAGAGTTGGTAAACCTGCATCCATCATACGTGAAGAGACACGAAGCAAATTCTCAGAAAAAACAGAGAAGGATACAGATGAAGAACAATGCTGAATCACGAAAACATGGACAATAAGGAAAGGAAGGGGAAGATAGAGAAAGAAAAGTACCTCTTTTTCGTTGTACATGGGGATTTGCACGAGAACCATGGGATAAACTGAATTACCCAGCTCCGGATCGTCCTTTATCGGCTCCCATTTGTATCGCTTCTCTGGTTTTCGCCCAAACCACTTGACGTAAGTGATGACGATGCCCATGTAGACCCTCTCCATGAACAGCAGAACCGCGAAGACCAAGCATAGACCCACCGCGAGTTTCAGCAGAGGAACGATTAGCGGGGTTTTGATCTGTTGCCAGATGAATCCCAATTGGCCGGCGAGGTCATCCCTGGGAAACGCCTCTGGAAGAAGGTTGACAGCAGGAAGCCGATCCATCTCTCTCTCTCTTCAGTTTGCAGTAGAGACGAACAGTTGAAAAGAGATGGGAACCCAGAACCAGAAGCGTGAAACCCAAAACAGGGGACAAGAAGTATATAGATTGGCTACCTACAATGTTCCAAAAGAAAGTAGCTAGATCTGCATGGAGTTAAAGGACTTCCCTTTGCGAAAAGAGCGCGAATCTAAATTGACCCTTTCTGTCACTCCCCTCCTCTGTAAACTGGAATTTCGCTTCTGAGTTACGCAATACAATGTGGTAGAGCTGGACTGTCAGTCATTCATTCACTCTAATTCCTCCACATCGTTAAGGAACCAGACCCACCAGACTAATCAGGCGAGAGAAGACTAAACCCAGTTCAGATCTCACTCACTCCACATTCAGAAGACTAAGAACAAACATTAAGCAAACAATAACAAGATTAAAGAAAAAGGTACTGAGGTAGACAGAATCTAGTTTCGAGGCCTCTCTTGCGTTCAGCCTTCTACCTTCTCCACCCTCTCTCTCTCTCTCTCCCAATCTCTGCAAGTCCAAGAAATGCAGAGCAGAAGACTATACAATATACATTTTGAACAAGAGATAAAGAGATGTCGAAGCAGGTTAGGGAAATGAGAGAGAGTAAGAGAAGGCCTTTTATAAGCTCCTCGTGGTTCTGGGTTGTTGTACTTCTCTCTCTCTCTCTCTAGAGATCTAATGTCGGCTGCTGTAAAAGCTTAGAAGTTAGAACCCCGACTGTTCCGAACACAAGTAGAAGTTTGCAGCCTTTATATAAGAAACAATAGAAAAGGAGTCAAATTCCGGCGACCAGAAGCCGGCCAACGGTGTCAGATTCCGGCAGGGTACTCCCGACACCTTTTCCTCATTTTGCCACATTTACTCATTTATTAGTCGCTCACTTCATATAATGCAGTAATCAATATGTACCAACTGCCATGGTGTCAGATCCCGGCCGTGACCAACTCGTGACGCTTCTCCCATATGATTCACCTAACAACTCTCCTTTCTGGCCGTCAGATCGGAATTCGAGGGCCCCTTCCCATGTAGATACTATTCCAACGACACACGTATCTCGTGCTTCCAAATCTCGTACTTTCCCAATCATTTCCCTCCAAAGGAATTCCACCTTGTAATCTCCTTATTTGGAATCCCAGCCATGGATTTCAGTGCATTTGGTCCAATGCTCATAGAAGTGAAATGTCGTTATGGACTCATGTCTACCGTTCGTTTAATCGTTCATGATTCTGATAAAACTGTAGATCAGACTCTCATCAAGATTAGATGATAATGGGAGAGCACTGAATCACTTCCCTGTGGGCAGACATGATTGGAGCGGATTTCAAGGGAGTGATTGGAGCGTTCTCGGTTAAAGTAAAAAACTAAAAATTTTTCGTCTCCTTATCTTATTTGGGCCCCACACATTTCCACATGGCATATGACTGAATACAGTAAGCATACTCTTTCCACTGTACACGAATCAGCGAAGGTCGTTGGATTGGAACAAAGTACCAGATGATGACACAGCCGATGCCCCGGTCAAACTGTCAAAGCGACGGTCCAGCGTCGTCAATCTAACATAAAACCGCACGATTCGTGGCGTGTTTTAAGCCTTCAGCTGCGCCTCATGCAGCGTAGCAACTAGAGACGCAATTAACTCCCGCACACTCTCCAGTCGAAAAAAATTAAATACAAATTAAAAATTAAAAAAATAATAATAAACGAAATGAGGAATTCGGAATTGAGAATTCCACTTGTAAGCTGACAAGAGCTCTTGTTTTGAGAAAGCACGCAACCTTAAATAACAGAAGCTTACGACCGTTGATTCAGTTGACCTGACAATTCCGAAAAGTGATCAACTGATCATCCTGCCGACAGACTCTTCTCCTCCTACTCCAAGCTACGCCCTGTGCCCGATATGACGAGACTGCCCCTACAAGAGTGTCGGTTAACGTGCGCCAGCCGGCCAAGGAACGCCTTTTGAGAAGTCGAGACGAGGGCAGTTTTGGCAGTCAAAACAAAGTGAGGTCCCCAGCGGGGAACCCGCTTGGCCTGCCTCCTTGCTCAGCGCACATGCTCTAGACTGGGGAACTTGGTCAATTGGCAGTGGTGGGAGGGCATTATCGTAATTAAACCAGAGAAGAAGGGCAATTTGGGAGGATGACTCTGTCGTGTTGTGTGTGATCACTACTGATCGATCAGTGATGGATTGGAGAGATGGGAGAGATAATAGAATAGAATGCGTACATGAGCTGCCAAGCTGGATCGACGGACCGTTGCGGGCAAGCTCCCAACAGTTGGCCGTACCGTTGAGCCATAGTCTCGAGTTCAGATCTGATACGAACGAGATGCTCCCAACATATCCCAACTGTCCACTAAAGCCGCATATGGGGAGCATCTCTTCACGGAGATGTTCCTAATGTACTACGGTTGTAATGGATTGTTGGGATAATGTTGGAAGCGTTTTATTGGTAGCATATCCCTACCCATTAATCCCTCGGAATTTATTTAATACAAATAAACAATTATTATTTTAGCTATTAATAATAAATAATAATTGATCCCTTTAAATTGTGCTGGGGGTACGGGTAGAATATTCGGTTGCCAGGTGTACAAAATACAAAAAAAAATAAGCTTTTGAAAAAGTCCAATTCCTTCAGCGATTTTGTGTGAAGCCAAACGACTAAAATGTGGTTTTGCAAGCTGTCGCTGTTTCTCACTCTAACTACCGTCGGCAGGGGCTTTTTTGCATTGCCGTCCTCCTCAAATGCCCTCTGATTTCCTCGTAACTACGGAATTGGTCTTGCACGTGTACTGAAAGGACAAAAATGGCCTTGGCTAATTTCATTCTTGATTTTTTTTTTCCGTTGTTTTAGAACTGTTTGTGGAAATAAATACTGGGGTTCCACTTCGTCCAACGTTGCTATAAAGTGTAAGGAACAATAAGAAGAAAATCTAGGACTTTGTTTGGTTTACGTGATTTGAGGAGGAAAGTGAGGGGAATTGTTAAATGAAAGGTAATTTGGTTCTATTTCTTTTGTGGGAAAAGAGAGAAAATTTGGGCTTGACTATTGACCCACTTCGGCTAGAAAGTGAAGTGGGCGTTCAAACGGTTTAAAATGGCTGAACTGAATTACTTATTGTTGTGAATTAGTTGTTAAAGAGGTTAATAAACTTATTAATGGGTTAAACTGAATTTGGGCCCATTATTATGTCATTGAATTTTTTATTTTATTTTATTTTTAGTTACTTTATTTATTAAAAAGAAAAGAAAAAAGTGATTCAGTTCAGCCATTTCAGCCATTAAAGATGTCTTTTGTGCAATGGTTTTCGTGGTCAAGTACATTGATTATTGAGTTAAGAATGAAAAGGACTTAAAAATAGGGTCCCCATTGCTGCTCTATTTTGTTTCCATGGGAGTAAAGGTGGGTTGGGTTAGTAGGGTTCAGGGTTTTGAGCTTTGTTAAATGAAATAATTAAAGCAGGGATCTCTATCATCTTACAATGGAGGAAACTAAGGATGATTGGTGTTAGGGTTTGGCCTATTCAATTCAAACTTTTAAAAGGAACAACGATTTTGTCACCTTTCTTCTTTTTCTTTTTTACTCTGATTTTTATTTTAATTTCCATGGGTTTAATTGGGTAAGAACAAAACGCACTCCCATGAATGTATATTTAGAGGAAATGTCAGTCGGTGGGTTTCTAGGCCCATTGCACACATGGAAATGGAAATGATGTTCTATCTACCTTGTCTCCAAAACCCTAATAAAAATTAGAAAGCAAACATCAGATTGAGATACTCGTGATGCTTTGTTCATCTCCTCAGGCCCTGCCCCACCTCTCTCTCTCTCTCTCTCTGTGATAATCTTTATACCTAAACTCCAGAGTTTGACTGACTTTTTGCTTAAATTATTTAACAATCAATTTTTTGTGTAGTTGAGCTATGTTCATTGCCTTGCATGGATTAAAAAATCAAGACCAGACCCATTTTATATTCTTCTTACAATATAGGATATCACCTCATGTAACAATGCCCTTCCAACAACCTCAACTTTAAATTGAGATGAAACACTGATTGCATAAGATTTTTGGGCTACTTAAACTGTTGGTTTTTGGTTTAATTATCTACCAATTGATCAATTATGACTAAATTCAATTGTTAATTAGGGTTTTCCATCTAAATTCCCCTGCCAACTACCCTTACCCCATCACATCTATTCAAATTTTAATAATATGTGTGATCTTCGTTTAATTGGGTTCTTATATCTTATACAATCCTGGGTTGGACCCATTTAGATTCTGTAGCAAATTCCATTGTTTGTGCTACACCCACTGGTCATAATATTAATAGAAATTTATGCCCTGAAGTTGAGAGATTTTGTTGGTAGGATCCAAGCAAGCTTCCTTCGTATAATGCAATCGCTAGTTCCATTAAATAAGACTAGTAATTTTTAGATAATTTTTTTTTCTGTTTTATTTTAAATGATTATTTTGCCTTTCCACAACACCTCTACATACAAGGGACAAATGTTAGAATCGACATTTCGCTGGATCTCACTGTGTGCAGGCAAGTGGCACTCTTAAAATCATGACACGTGTCTTCCTGTCCCTACCCAATCACATGTTTTCCTTGGACATCTTAATCAAAGAAGTGTGGTATCATGTTTGTTTGTTTGGACATTTCTAAGGTATACATTCAAGAGATGTAGTATCACATGCGTCAGAAACACAACTAGCACCAAGGGGTGACTAAGCTTTCTCTCTCTCTCTCTCTTACATTATTGGGAGAAAGGTAAAATTCCACCTGTGGATAAAATTCTACTATGATTGGAAACAAGCAGAGGGTTGTGGGTCATTTTCAATTCCCTCAACAAACAGTAACAGACTTTAGAACAAGGATCCATGGGACCTTCTATTAGTGCAATAATTTCCAACTATTCTATCTTTAATGAGGTTGTTTTCTTGGGTTGCTGGTTGGTCAGATTCCATCCCAATTTTTCCCAACACAACTATCATATATATCAAGGCTCTGCAGACTCCCTGTCCTTCAAGTAAAACTCATATATCAACTTGCCACATTTCTCTAGAAAAACATCTCTCTCTCTCTCTCTTACCAACTAAATGCCATTACCTACTCTTATTCCACTTATATTGCTTCTCCATTCCTTTCTGTTTTTAGAGTTTTCTTTATCACACTGTCTCTTCTCTTCAATATGTGCCATGGTAAATACAATTTTGTTCTAGATTTCTTTTCATGGAAAATTCTCTATACCATACTTGCATCATACAGCAGTCACCCACTATGTTTTGTCTATTCTTCTAACCAAAACAGATCACCTCAATTGATTAACTACATCTTGTAGAATAGCAATATCAAGCAATATTGTACCAGATGCCTGTAAAAACACTGTTATAAAGTTGGTGTTTTAAGAAGAATTGGGTCAAGATTCCAGCTCAAGTAGGTAATAGATACCTGTACTGAGACTGAGAGAGTCTGAGCCTCAGATTCAAATGTGGCTAGTGAACAAAAAGAGAGAATCATCAAATGACTTGTGACAGTTTTTATTAGTTAACCACTAAAATCCAGAGATACTGAACCTAAGAGACTATTTAATATGAGGTTATATTAACACCTGAGAATTATAGGGTATAAGAAAACCTCAGTCTCTCAATTCATGGGATCTGAGGCCATAAAGTGGGACCTGGGGTCATAAAAGTGACACACATGCTAAGTCTACAGTGTTTTCCACATACTAGCATTTACCTTTAATATGATATCTGAGGAGGTTTCCAAAGTTTGCTTCCCCTGGATTTTGACATGAGGGTTTTAACAGTTGCCCTATGTTAAATGATGATGTTTATAATAGAGTAATAAGAGAACAAATGTTCTAAAAGCTTATCTTTTTTTGTGTAGGCAAATTATCTAAAACACAGCTGTCATTGAATAAATGACATTTTTACACAGATCTCTAATTCTATATAGCCAAGGAGCCAATATTTCCCAATAGATAGATGTGATGGAAGATAAACCCCTCACACACTCTTTACAAAGAAGACCAGACATTGCTTGACATCTTTAGTTACATCAATGTCACAACTCACAATTTAGCATAGTTGAGGCCAAGCATAATGTTAGGACAAAATAGACATGAATGCTGTTGACTTAAGCTTTTTCTTTTCTTCCTTTTGCCTTGGTAAAAAACAGATCCCATTATTCTCCTATTTTATTTTTGTCCCTTTATGATTAAATATGTGATGGCCTAGTTGGGCTTATATTTTCACATTACCCTTGTTCTCTCTAGTAAAATTTCCCTATTCTTTTTCTGTCACATGACAAAACAGAACCATTTTTTACCCATTCTAATTAAAAATTTCCTGAAATCCATTCTAGTTTGGAGAAATACTTAATCAATGAGGACTATTTTCATTGCCAATTTTTTCCTTGCAAAAATCCATCTATGAAAATTTCAGAAAATATGGATCTATAAAAATGGAGTCCGACATGTCTAATCTTGGCTTTGAATTTTGCTTCTGTATTTGAAGCAGGAGCATTTAATACACGCAACAATAAGTTAGGCATGCAACAACCCTTCAAATAATGAGAGGCCAAAGAAAATTAAGAAGCCATTAAGGTTTCAAATATATTGATCTCTCACTTGGTCAAGTTTAGGGGAAGATTTACAGTAGTTTTTATTAGGAACAAAGAATGGCCATAACTCATAAGATGGGGTAATGAGAGGTCATGAGTTACTTGAGAATCAGTGGTTGAGATTTATTTGAGCTAATGGTTAGGATCGATTTTCATACCTTGTCTTCTACCATAAATACCCCCCCCCCCCACACACACACAATGTAGTTTTAGTGAGATGAAACAATTCGATTTCAAGTCTTTCTTTGAATAGCTTTAGAATTCTCTTATCTCTTATTTCCTCTTCTCTGGCTTTGTCTTCAACCAAACCAAAAGGTTAGTTGAAGTTTCCAATTTAAGCTAGGATTGAAAAAAAAAATAATGTAATATGATCGTCCATGGAGAAGAGCTTCTGTTCTCAAGCAGCTTAGGTTGTTGCGACCAGCAATTAAAGATTGAAGAAGAGGTTCTGTTCTATTGTCAAGGAGCTGTGTCATGGTGGCTGGGACACAGCCTATTCTGTAGGCTGTATGTACGAGACAGGATTGAACATGGTAAAATTTGTTCCAATCCTATCCAGAAGAGGCTTAGAAGTTGTGAAGGTTGGCTAATCATGAGTTCTATGTAAGCTATACTAGGATTGCCCCTATATTTCACAGCAATGCAGGGTCAGAAGAAACCAGGTGAGCTGAGAATGCGAATCCTACCTTAAGCCTATGTTTGGTTTGAAAGAACTATGAGAGAAAGAGAAAGTTGGGGGAAAATTCTTAACGAGTTTTTTGAAGTCCATTGACAACTTTCTGTTTCTCTCTTATGTTCTATCAAACAAAACACAGCCTATGGGATAATGAATAACACTGGGCCCATTTATGAGGGGCAGTCTGTAAGCACTTTTCCATTTTCTGGGAAATCACTTCGTTCCAATCCTATGCAATAGAGCTTTAGAAGTTGTAAAGGATGGCTGATCATGAGTAATTTTTAAGCTAGGATCGACCCTATATTTCACAGTAATACAGGGACTGATGAGACAGATAGATGAATCCGCAAATCCAACCTTGGGCTATGTTTGCCTTGACAAATAAGAGAGAAACAAAATTTCTGTTTCTCTTATTTTCCATCACACCAAACACAGCCTAAGGAATCAAGTATGGGCCCACATATGGGATGGTCAGCAATCACTTTTTCCTTTTCTGGGGAACTCCCACAATTGCACATCATGGCCTCATGGGCATGTATTGAAGGATCCTCACTTAATGTCTCATGGGTCTAGGCCTTGTTCCTTAATAAGGCCCAAAGGTAATGCTGTTGCAGTACAGTAATAATGGCACCACCTATCATGGCCTATTAGCCCATGACAACTAGTCCACCCGCCCCAAGTTATGATGGCATCAACATCATTGGAAACACATGCCTAGCCCATTTTAGCCCTCCATTCAAGTGGGAAAATCAGCCACTTCTGGAAGAATGCAGGCCTTGGGACCATGGAATTTGAATACCTACGGCAGATCTCTCATTGGCTTGATGAATCTCATCAGGCTGTAAATCCAATTGCTTCAGAACTGCACAAGTGGAAGCCCATTAAGGATTTGTGTAATCCAACAGGAGGCATTAAGCAACCAACTTACAAATCTTCAATCCATTTCATGCCTCTAGTGTCCACCATGTTTCAACCCCTGCATTCATGGAGTTCCTGAGGTCTCAGAAAGTCTAGAAATATTTTCATTCATTTCTTTCTTGATATTCTCAAAATAAGTGTCATGAAGTTCTCTCTCTCATTAAATAACTTTGAAGAACTTTAAAACAATAAGGTACGACAAAATTGATTTCTCAACTAGAGGAAGCCACAAAAAGAATGGGGGACAATGATAATATTTACTTCAGTGATCCAGCATGGGTGTGGAATCATACATATTCCTTAGGGCCTCGGGCACTGCCTGACCACACTGTTCCAGTATCTCAATCAATGGTTTGACCACCGGGGCATCTTCCTCGCAGAGAAGGCTGTGCAGCACACCATTGACTGAGTGGCGTGCCATCCTTGTGAGAATTTCAGTGTATCCATCAATTGAAGGTAAGAAATCAACAATTATGGCAACTTCAAAATCTTCTATATCCATGCTCCCAACGTGTTCTTTAACAGACACTGACACCACCATACTCTTCTCACTGCAAAATTAGGATAAGAAAATGATAAAGGAGTTTCATGTACAAAATGATGAATTTCATACTTTTAGAAAGAGCTAAATAAAACATTGTGAGAATTAATTCGTGCTTTAACATTTTCACCTTTCCGACTACATCACTATGATCCATTTACCTATATTACCATTATATGTTGCAAACGGATCAGATTGAATCTGGATAGGAGTATCTGAATCCTATCCGATAAGAATCCTAAAGATCCAAATTTAATTTGATAACCGACAAAAATGTAAAACATAGATTTGAATTCAATTCTTTGACATGTCTGGATAACCAGTTCAAATCCAACTTGATTAGAATATCAGTAAACCTGTATAAGTAGGCATAAATTTATAAAATAATGTAATAAAAAAATATATACTATAAATAGAAAAAGAGGTCTATCTAAAACCCAAATTGCACTTAATTCTAAAGAATTTTAATACTAAAAGAGGTCTTTTGCATATATTTACATGTGATGGGATTGGATTGGATCAAGAAATATTCGGAATTCAATCCGATTAATTATGGATAAATGGATATCTAAACCCAACAAAAATGAATCAGATCTGAATTTGAATTGGATTAAATACATTTGCAGCCTTAGCTACATTAAAAATCATAAAAATTTTTGTTAGCTACCTGTTGTCTGCTTGTGAACCATCAGAAGATGATTCATTTGAGATGGAGTATCCCTTTGCTCTAAGAGTAGTAAGCCACACTTGAGCCTTATTATCTGTCCCCACTACAAATAGCACTTTCCGTGGCTGGAAATACAGTTTACTACGAGGCATTTTTTCAAGAACTTCAACACCCTGCAAAATTCATTAATATGAGTGTTATTTCCAGGAAATGCTGCCATACCAGGTGCTTTTTCATAATATCTGCTGAAGTTCCAACAAGATATAACAAAATTAGCAAATAACCCCCAAAAAAATGGGGTGCCAGGAGATCAAGGAGGGTACTGAAAGATCCAATATTTCATTTTGCAGACCGTTTTAATTGCAAATACATCCTTAAACGTGTAACTGAAGATACATTCAAAGATTACTGCCCAGTGTCAGGCAAAAGGCCAAATTTTATATATTTTCACTTACTGCTCAAAGCATGTCCCAAATAGACTGCAATTCTGCAAAGAATAGAAATGGCCATTATCCAATGTTGATCTCAGCTATCTGGGGTCTTGGGAGGGGTAGGCTGTATAACCTTTGACATTTTTCTTTTGGACTGTATAACCTTTGAACCTGCACTTTCATTCTTGCAAGCATGGGATTTTACCATCGCACCAAGCAGTGGCCCCTAAATAGACTGCAAAGAATCATAACTAGAAATTTGGGAAAACCTAAAATACAAATTAAGCAAAATATTTCAGTGCCCCCATTTTCAATGAGAGAGAGATAGGAAAAAGACCAACCAATGCATGACAGGAGTAAAGAAAGATTAGAAGGATGTAAGAAAATTCCTACCTATAACAAGAACCACTCTAATTCCCTTGGGGCCACCTGATCCCACACATCCAATATGCACAGATACACAGAAGATCCCACTTTAATCTAGAAGCAACCAACACAGAGATGCAATATGACTTGTTTTGAAATTTTCAAAGGAAGTTCATAAGAAAAGAAATTGAAAAATACAAAGAAAATTTCTGTTCGAAGGACAACAGAAAAGAAAATTATACAACCCATAGGCGGGAAAATTTAGGAATAGCTAATATATGAAGGACTTGGCATTAGGTATTAGAAGATATCAATGGAGCCAACCTAGAAAAATTGGGATGGAAAGTACCACATGAATAAAAAAAATCCCTAACTAAGGGAACTAGAGGCAAAATAGTTAAACAATATCAACTTCATTTAAGTCTCTCCAAAAGCTGGCATATCATTGGGATGGAGAAGGATTCTCAAAGGTAGAGATCTAATTTCAGAAAGGACTAAGATGATCGATCAGTAGGGGATGGAAGGCAATTTTGTTTTTGGTTGATAACTAAGCCTTGACTCAAGAGTAATAAAAAATATAAATTTATGGATAAGATTACAGGGATTAGGAAAGCAGTGGAATAGGAGAAAGAAGACACAATTCTACACCACAATAATATCACAAATAATGACAACTAGAATTTCCCATTTCCCAAAAGATGTGGTAGGGACAAATCATCATCATCATCATCTAAGCTGTGTCCCAACTATGGGGTTGTTTGCATACTTACATGATCCTGTTTTGCCATTCTGTTCTGTTCAGTGCCCATATCTATCATTAAATTATGGGCATTTAAATCATTTCTTACTACTACTCAAGTCCTTTTCAGTCTACCCCCAGCTCTTATAGCCAAAAGATGATTTTTCCCATTTCCCAAAAGATGGCATGTGCTAGGGGCAAATCATCATCATCTAAGCCTTGTCCCCAGTCCCAATGTAGGGATCAGCTAACATGAATCCTGTTTTGCCATTCCATTCTGTTGAGTGCCAAATCCATAGTAAAATTATGGGCACTTAAATCATTTCTTACTACTTCCATCTAAGTCCTTTTTGGTCTGCCCCTAGCTCTTCTAGTCCCTTCAACTTGTAACAGATCACTTCTTCTAACAGGTGCTGTAAATGGTCTTCTATGCATGCGACTAAACCACCTCAGTTTACTTTCTCTCATTTTATCACCTATTGGAGTTACTCCTAGATTCCTTCATATGACTTCATTTTTGACCCTGTACTTTCTAGTTTTACCATCATCCATCTAAGCATAGACATTTCTGCAACTCATTTTTTAGAAGTAATTGGAAGTATGTTTTACTAGTAAAAGCAATTGGAAGTATAATGATAGTATATGCAACAATGAGAACTTTGGAAGCATAATGGTTCATCTAGAGGAGGCAAGGGCAGCAAGGGAGGCTCTTACCATGACAGGAGAAAGAAAGAAGATTACATAAAGTTCATCTTGAAATTCAATATAGTAATTAAGAGATTAAGAAGTCACATCAAGATTCCACTGTGAATTAGGACATGGAAAAATTTCAAGGAAAAACATAATATCTGTCATCATCTCACATATCCATAGAGAAGGAAATCAAGGAGCTCCTTAGCAATCAATGATTTAGTAAGGGCTTCAAAACAAACTCAATGTTTACTCTTAAATAAATAAGTCTCTCTTAACAAAACTAAATATAAACAAAAAAATAACAAAGTAGAGAACTAATTCTTGATTGATATTTATTTTTTTGGGTTTCAATAAAAAGAAAATTTATTAAAACAAAAAACAGTACATTTGGAAGTGATGAGATATCACTAGAGTACAGCCCTACAAAAAAGAGCAAAAGAGGAAAAAATACAAAGGGAGAACAACGAAGATGATGCAATAAGCATAGGACATACAAACAACAAACAAAAAAAAAAACAAAAACACATCATGCCAGCTGCAAGGTATTCCAAAATCCAGCACCAAGATCTTAATTGAATTTATTTGAATTGCAGTGAATCTTAAAAATTGTGTAAATCGTAATATTTATTAATCAAATCATAGGATTCAAACAAAAATCTTAAGATTTTTGCAGAAAAGGATTCAGACATATTGACATAAGATTCAAATCAAAACCCTTGGGATTCATGATTCAAAACATGGATTGTAAGATAAAATAGGGGTAATGAAAAGTGGTTTTCAGTAAACTTTTTTATTGTGCAACATGCTAGTGCAAAAACAAAAGAAACCACCATTTAATAATAATAATAATAATAATAATAATAATAATAATAATAATAATAATAATAATAATAATAATATTATTATTATTATTATTATTATTATTATTATTAAAAAAGGAATGTTAATCTTTCCAAAGATGACTGTTCAGAAAAGGGTATTCCTAAATAGCCAAACTATAGCAAATTCCTCTTTTAGAAGTCATCCAAAATAATATCTTTCTTCATTATTAATTTTTGTGAGGAAAAGTACAATCATTTTCTCATGAAAACACTGCTTACCAAACTAAAGAACCATGTATATCACAGAGTAGTGTCCTAGTGCACTCGTTTTAACCTCCCCCCCCCTCCCCCAGGAAAAAAAAAAGCACGTATGTGTACACATACACATGCAGATACATAACAAGAACATCACCATTAACAACAACAATTACACATGAAGCATTTCTACTATTCCATAACAAATGAGCAAAATAAACAAACAAAATTAAGGGAATGCTAACTTTTATTTACCCATGATAGCTTTTCATCTTCTGATACAGACACATCCACACACTGAGTGATGCATGCACTTTGATTAGCCAGAGAATCACTGAAACATAACCTAGATATAGGGTCCCTCAGAAGGTTCTGCACCACTGCAGTAGAGATATGTCCAGATGAATTATTGAAAATAACTGTCTGGGAATCTCTGGAAACACATTGCCTGATGGACTTTAACTTGTCCAGAAAATCAGCTTTAGCAAAAGTTTCCAATTCATCAACAACCTGTTTAAGTATCAAAATAATGTATTTTAAGAAAATAAAAAAAAATTATATGTAGAAACTTGAAAAAGAGGAAAAAAAAAAAGATAACCTGCAGAGAAAGATCTTCCAACTAAGCGATTAAAGAAAAATAGTATTAATCCATACTCATGGAACTTTACTGGGGTGAATAGCTATTATTATTTACTGCAATAAAAAGATATACACCACAACCCATTGCTTTTGTAAATCCAGCAAAAGGCATGGCCAACTATAGCAACCATTATTCACAGATTATATTTGAACATATTTGCCAAAATGTCTTGAGTGGGAGGTAAAAGCTTTTAGGTTTTAAATATATTGCTAACTGGAGGCTCATTGCTTGAGATTCACCAGGATCAATGCCACAATCTGATATTTCAGCATCTAAGGAACTTTGCGCACCCAAATGAGCTGCAATACAGCATGGATTCTTGTAAACTTGAGTACAGTTTGTACTTCAGGCACGCACACACACACTATAATGACGCATACTTATTTCATTTTTGTTTCTGTTAGATCAGCATGACTTTGGGCAGCTTAGCAACTTGTTTTTATATGACAAATATTTTAACAGATGAATTTCTAAATATTTCCTAAAATATGTTTCCATTTCTATGAAGACATATATGAACTTATGAAGAATATTTGTAACAAAGATAGCACCTTACCATTAGTGAAACCCCAGATAAGTCAATGGCTTTTAAGGAAACAAGCTCCAAAAGCCTCTCAGGAGTGGATACAAGGAACTCAGGCTCACAACTCTTTAACCTGTGGAAGAAAAAACGTAGTTCAAGAAGAAATGAATAGGAGGAAGATAGGGGATGAAGAAAGTAATATGGATGTATGCATGCACATAAGTGTGTGCTTTTTATCTGTGTATTATTCAGTATCAAAACTCTATGAAGTTTAGCACAATATCATTTATCTCACATGTTCATTTTACTACATTAAGCAAATATCTTCACTAAAATTGACTTTTTTTCAATCATTATAATTTTACACAGATAAATAACTTAATAAAGTAATTAAATAAACACTGCACACAGAACATGAGAATAGTTTGAATGTAAATTTTTATGAATAGAACTACCATATTGCTTTCCACCATCTTAGGTTCAACCATTTAACAACCAAATATTCAAAACCACCCTCAACTAAGCAGTAGCAAATGCCTCCTTCACTGCAAACAGTTCATTTGTGCATAACATCACTTCTTCATAGTTGTCAAGGTGAGTAGGCAATTCTAGGCAACAGTGGAGCATGTAGTCACATAGGCACCTAGCCAGGAGCTTATGTGTTACCTAGGTGATGGAAATTGACAAAGAGAAAACTAACTAGCAAGCATATAAGTCGAAAAAATAGCAATGCTCTTTCATGTAGCACTGAATTTCATCTCAATAAATGGCTATCCAAAAGAAAATAGCACTATTGGAAGGATGGAGACTACTGGGCACTGTGGAGAGAAAGGAACTTGTGGATTTTTATTCTGATATGGATACTGCAAAAAAGCAATCTAAAGGGCCTTCTTTTATCCTGGTTAAGCACCCAAAAACCTTTTGAGAGGATACAACCTAGCTCTATATATTACCTTATCTTTTAAAGAAAATAAAGAAAAAAATATATAATACTTTCACTATCTCGTAAAAAAATAATCTAATGCTTCCAAGAATTGCATGCAAAACATTATTAGCAACCAAATAAGGCTTATTTATGCTAATAAAAAGAATTGTGTAATGAAAATGAAAAAAAAAAGGAATAAAGGGTTGAGTCCAAACTCTGGTTAATATGAGAGAGAGAGAGAGAGAGAAAGTAATTGCGGGAGAAAAGCAGAAACCTCTTTTGTCCCTCTCTTCATTCTTTCTCTTCACAAAACCCTTGGATCTTTTATATTTTGATAGTAAAACCCTAAAAGAAAACCATAAGTAACACACACACACACACACACACACATATATATATAAGATGCATCCATACTAAGGGTCTGTTTGGTTCACAGTTGGAATGATCTATCCCCCTCACCTGTTTGGTTCAGACTGGAATCGGAATCAGAATCAGAATTGGCTGGAATGGATTCTCATTCCCAGGGGAGGGGAAGGGAATGGTCATTCCCTCAAATGGGGGAATGCCATTGCACCAGAAATGGGTAAGGGATTCCAATTCTGCCCAACCAAACAGTTGGAATCAGAATGGACCATTCCAATTCTTATTCCAGACCCCTATTCCCACAAACCAAACGGACCCTAATATTATTATGATGGTTTTGATTTTTGTCACCTGGATGAGGCACCTTTTTATGTCATGGCTTTCAGGCTAGGCACCCTCAGACCTCATATTTTTGTCACCTAAGGGTGACTTGTCACTAAGGCAATGCCTCGACAACTATGAGATTTTTCAATTTATTACTGTAACTCCTAGAGGTACCTTAATGCTGAATTGGGGATATCTGGCTACTGATCTAAAAAATGGAGATATAATTTTTTTTGGTAGAAATTTGGAGGCACATGATTGCTCTTTTTCTTCTTGTGTAGCTTTTAATCTGTTTATAATTTATACTTTATACTACACAATAAAATGATACATGGATCTCATCTTATGACCATTGCAATGGTGTATACATGCTATGCACTCTCACTTCATATGGGCAATAAGACCTTTTATTAAATTAAAAAAAAAGAGAAAAAAAAAAGAAAAACATCTTATTTCACATGAAAAGCAAAAAGACTGATCTTATACTAACCCATGAATTTGGTGTTCCAACGATGCACCAGGATGTAAGCTCACTGTGTGTATTCCAAGAGCTTTGAGAGGTTTACACACTGAACGAATCTGATAAAGATTGTTATTCAATCCATCAATAGATAAACTAATGCCTTTTAGAATAGGATCAGTAAAGCCTGACAGAAAATGAATTAGGATAGTAACAATATGAATAAATTGATGCAATTATTTTTTTTAATTAAGCAGCATTCTAATCTGCTGCTGTCATAAGATGCCAAGAGCAGCTGCAGACCTTCATTGCTTTCTCTTGTGACTGTACAAGGAATAAGAGGAAAGGGCTCGCAATGGATAGACCTTCTTTCTCCTTTCTTGCAATGGTATCTGCAGCAGTAGAAACCATCCATGCAATCTGCTCAATGGAACAAGCTCCGGTTGTCTCCATTATATCTAACCCTACTGAATAACATTTCCAGTACTCAGCTCCCCATATGTTGGCTATCAAAGGTCTGCCAATATCACAGTTGAAAGCACTAGCATGTTGAAGCGCACTCTGTATAGCATTCAAGCACAAAACAAAAAACTTTGATGGAGACTCTGAATTTCCATGGGGCCCTCTTTGTTGACCACAAACTTCACTGTTTCCAAACAACTGGCTTTTTGTTTTTCCTAGACTAATAGAAATTCTCTGCCCCTTAACAGAATTTGATGCAAGCAATTTAATTTGCTCATTCTTCTGGTTTGCTGCTTTCTCCTTTTGGTCTTCTCGTTTTTCTACCTTTCTAGGATTCCTGCTAGAAACATCCTTCTTAGGCATAGCACCATTGTCAGAACGAGACACCCCTGTACCTCTCTGGAGAGGATCAGATTTCTTGGTTTTTTTTCTGTTGAAACTTGTGCTCTCATGTCCATCATTGAAAGGATCATCTGGTGTAGGAAGGCTAAAGCACATCCCCTGAAAATCCAAAGGATATCAGTTCTTTTAAATTGGCTACTTATGCACAAAACTCCCTTAACTCATCAGTCATCAGCATGGGTAAAGCTTCAAATAAACCAGGAAAATATTGCAATGATAATTTTAGGCAGTTAAATGAATAGCGTATAGCTTAAAATCAATGAATGTAATTGAGTGAACCAAGAACTTAAAGAAAATAAAAGAAAATAGTCAGTGGTTTCAAGAATATAATGGTGCAAGCTACTTGTTATCCGTACCAGTGTTTCAAAAGCGCAAGGCACAAAAAATGCAAGGGGCAATTTGTGCCCGAGGTGTGAGGTGCAAGGCGAGGCACACGATTTTTTGAAGCAATATACAAAAATACAAAAAATATGCAAAAAATATTAAAAAAATATTAAACATAAACTTAGGTTTTAAAATAAATATTTTAAAAACCTATTATCTAAAAATAAAATAGATAAGCATAGCATGTACAGTGAATTCAAATAACAATTTAAAAATAAAATCAAGCACACAAAACATTTGCAAGCATGTAAAATCCGGAAATTCTTTTTTTTCCTCAATTGCACTACTTCAAATAGCTAATGTGATGTAAAACATCTTGCTTTCTTGATTCTACAAGCCACCTTTGTACCAAGCCCCTCGAGACAAGCCCAAATAATTCCATGTTAGGGTCTTAAATTCTTAATCCTTGCACAAAAAAAAATGATTTTATAATTTATTTGCCTATTAAGAAGATATTTTACTAGGATGAATGAAAGAACAACATTAGTAAATAGGGGTTGGCTTGGTCGAGGGTCCGGGAGCGGAGCCCCTGGCCCAGCCGCTAGGTTCAAAAAAGAACAGAAAGCACAAAAAATAAAAAAAGGCACATGCATGGGCTGAAGCACAAGGCACACCAGGCACATGCCTAGGTGCACACCTTTTGAAAGTGCTGCTCCTAGGGCCCAGGCGAGGAGCAGACCTTAAAATATGCCTCATTTGAGCACCTCAAACGCACCTTTTAAATCACTGATTCATACACAACTACACACACTTCAAGGAAATTGAATTCTAACTCATTAGTGCCACAACAAGCCAAGAATTAAGGTCACAGGCTCTTTGGCACAAGAACCCATCACCTAAAATGTGATGCTACTCTTAGTGATTGATTGGTGCAAGGCTAGAAGCTAAAACATAAAAGGAATTAGAGCGGACAAAATGAAGGGGTGCATCCCGAGTCTTATATGATAGGCGAATACCACTTGCATCCCGAGTCTTTATAAAACAGTTGTAAAGCCAGCTATGTTTCATAGAGCATAATGTTGGGCAGTCAAGAAACAACATGTTCAAAAAATGGGTGTGGCAGAAATGCATATGTTGAGATGGAAGAATGGTAAAATGAGAAAGGAAAGCACCACAAACAACAGGTGCTAAAATGATAGAAAGTAGACTAAGATGGTTTGGTTATGTGCATAGAAGGCCACCAACAACAACCATAATAAGAATTGATCTGTTGCAAGTTGAAGGTGCTAGAAGGGCTAGGGGTAGGGGTGTCAACAGTATTCGAAAATCCGATTTCGAATTCGAGATTCAACATAATCGAATCGGTCGAATTCAGATATCCTATTCATCCCGAATAGGTAATCGGATTTGAATTTGGATATGACCTGATTTGATTCAATAAACATCCGGATTCAACCAATTATTTAATTCTTATATATAATATATAAAATATTTAAATGTCTAATATAATTTATATAATAATTAAATTATATGAATAATTTATATATTTATATACTTTATATAAATAAAATATTTATTTTATATATTTATTAATTACATAAAATTCAAATCGAATTGAATATTCAAATATTTAATCAAATTTGAATTCAGATATTGCTTGATCCGATTCGAATTCGATCAGTTTACACCCCTAGGTAGGGGTAGATAAAAAGAACTTGGGCCGGAGTAGTTAGAAATAATCTAAATGTCCATAATTTAGCAATGAGTATGGCGTTAAACAGAACGGAATGAAAAAACAGGATTCATGTTGTGGACTTGTGGCTAGAGATGGACCAAAAGGAACTTGGGTCGAAGGAGTTAGAAATGATTTTTTTTTTTTTGATAGATAGGAGTTAGAAATGATGTAAGCGCCCATAATTTAACAATGGATATGGCATTAAACATAACGGAATCATGTTGCCGAACGCATGTAGTTGGGATAAGGCTTGGATGATGATGGTGTAGGAAAAAGAAACGAAGACAAGAGAACAATTTAACAACTTGATGGCATCAAAAGATTGGCTATTATATTTGTTAAGGATCTTAGTAATTGCTAAGTACGTTGCTAAGTAGTCAGGCAGTTCCATTTCATGTTCCTATACCTCTTTACAAGTTTTACTAGTAAGTTTGGTTAGGATTTTTGAAATTTTGTTAAGAAAAATTTAGATTCAGCAGACAGAAACAACTTGAGCTCTTTTTCTTTCATAGTTTCTTCCGTTTTCCAAGTATAACAGTAACTTAGTATCCAATTTAATACTAATTGGCCTTGTATTTCTTCTGCTATCTTGGATAGTTTACAAAAAACCTCTTGATTATATACAGAAAATCCTTCTTTAGTTCTTTCCAGCAGTGATCTTTGAGACCTATAAGCAACTCTCAGTGTCTGTGTGTCTTAGTGTGTCATCTATCAATCTTTTATTGAAAACCCATATAAATCCAGTTAGAACCCAAATCCCGAAAACCAAATAAAAATCGAAACAATAACAAATTGAGTGGATACCTCGCAGATTCGACGTTTGCCAGACTTGCGGCGTTTTTTGGCGGCGATTATAGCAGCAACACGAGCTGAGACTGCAGAAGACTCCTTCCGCATCCTCTTTCGGTTCTCTTTGTTCTTCTTTCTCCTTATTGCATCGTCGCCTTTCACCATTGCCGCTCACCGAAGCTCCAAAACTCGGAGCTTTCGACAGTGATCGAGCGAGCGAGAAAGAGGCCACCCGCACCGGACCAAACGGTTTATATCGTAGTGGCCGCAGTGGAATGGGTGGATCAAAGGTCGAGATGGGCTTGCGGGTCGAGAACGCCTTTCGTCATTTCCCATTTTCCCTTGTCTAAAGTGGGCCTGCAGTGGATCTCAATGGGCTGAGATGGGCTTGCGGGTTGGGGTAAGGGTTTCGCCCAAACATGGGCCAGATAGTAGAGGTAGACGGATGGTTCAAACTATCTACTAGGGTTTCGCCCAACAGTGTGTCTCAGTTTCATTAGAGGTGTTTGATGGGTCCATCCAAATCGCCAACCATATCATATTGGAGTCCGGATCTGCTTCAAACGAGTATGGATTCAGTATATATTCTAAATACACAGCTGGTGGTTGTGAACATGGTGTGAGGATGGTTCCGTGAGAATTGAATTCGACTTTGCTTCCAACAGAACACGTTTCAACATGCTTTGAGTCTGATTTGATACTACACATCTCAGGCATGGTGGACCCAGACCCAAGGGTATATTAGGAGTCTTAATCTAATTAGCGCCATCAATGGATTCTAAAAGTCTGACATACCAAATTTGGATGGTAGAACTTGTTTGTGATTAATAATTGGATTGGACATGGATTTAACTCATGGAATTCGAGTCCCACAAAAAATATTATTTTATGAATATATGTATTATAATCATGTATATATATAGATATTATGTATAATTATATTAAGTTTATAGTTGATAAATTTAAGGGATTAGCAAATAAGGGCAATTTTTGGGCCCTAATATCAATAAAAATAATACTTTTATATTTATATATATATTTAGTATGCATATATACTTAAAAATAAATAGGTTTTTTATTTTTAGTCATTTTAAATATAAGAAGATGATTGTAGATTAAATCCAAAATCCAATATGATAATTAGATGTGGATGTGGATTTAGGACTCAGTTTGGAAAGATTACAAATACAAATATGTACAGTATAAATACATACAAAATACAAGGTTTTGTACTCTATATATTTGTATTTGTACTCCTTCCAAATTGAGATTAGAGATTTTGTAATTGGATGTGAATGCAAATGCAACTGGATCCAATCCATTTACAGTCCTATGTCCAACCATTCCTTGATAGATTAGAATCGCCTTAGCCCTATGCCCATCTACTCTGTGTTGTTGTTGGGAGTCCTGTGATAAGATTCTCATTTCATCCTCTTCTAGTCCTGGGTAGCTTTTGTAACCAATGAATTCTTACCCAACCTCCTAAGAAAAATCGCTACTTATAGAGGGATATGCAACCTCCATAAAAATTCAAACATAAGCCCTGCCTATGAGTGGCAAATGGTTGAGTTGGGAGTGAATTGAGTACCGATTTACCGATCCACCCATGAATGACCCACACACATTTTGCTAGCCATACTAATTGTATATTAATGGGTTGCAATTCACCCAAATTCACCCATGTTGATCCATTTGAATATTTAAAATTAGAGAAACCTCGTAAAAAAATCCCTTTTTTACCTTAAATTATAATTTTTAACATTTTTTATAAATAAAAAATTAAAACTGCAGTAAAAATATAAATTAAACACTATATATATACACATATATATAGACACACATTTATGTTGACTTGTCATGGTCGAATTGCTGACTTGCGGCCCAAAAGCAGAAACAATTCAGCCTTCAAGTTAGTTTTGAAAACACTGGTCCTAACGTAATTGGTTCAACTCAAGCATAAAAGTTGGACTTCATTTTAGAGAGACAACAAGCATCAACGGGTGGGAAGTGACAATCAAGATGAGAGAGAAACATAAAAATTGGACATCATAAGAAAAAGTTAGAGAGAGAGAGAATCAACATAACTAAGAGGATAGAGAATCTAAGAGAGAGTAGAGAGATAAGAGAGAAACATGAAAAGTATAATACTTCATTAGAAACATAAAAATTAGACTTCATTAAGAAAAAGTAGATAAAGAACTAACACAAAGGAGAGAAAAGTAATATAACCAAGAAGAGAAAGAATCGAGAGGAGAAAGAAACAAGATAAAGTAATTAATCAACAATTACTATTAATTAATAGTAATTTAATTACTATTAATTGTGATCCATGGGTTTTTAAAATTTTAAGAGATTAGATGGTCAAAACCACTGAAAAAGGTTAACAAGATCAAATATTATAATTACTATTAATTAATGTTACCTACTTTAATTGATTAAATAATATATACAATTTTGAAAGTCATCTAAACCCAAAACAACCATCTTTTCCAGCCGATTTAGAAGGTGGATGGGGGTAAAGACATTAGAATTAGATGGTTTATTGGGCATGAGATAGAATAGGAGATGGCTTAGGAGGAAGTTTGGAGATAGTTTAAAGAAATTTTAGGAGGGGAAATGATTTAAGTGATTGGCAATGTGCATGTGTGTGAGAGAGAGAGAGAGGGAGATTTTAAGAAGATTTTTAGGTAATTGAGAAGTAGAGAATTAATAAAAGTTTCAAAAAGGAGAGTCTTGCTGAGATGGCAAGTTGAGAGAGCTAGGAATGGTATAAGGAGGAGAGAGAGGCAACAAAGGAGAAACTCTGCCCACAAGAACCCTGCCCACGCCTACCCACAATACACTATCCCCGTGAATTTGGAACATCTCCCCTGCACAATACTATATAGAGGATGAGATGTTCTCCATGTGTGACTGCGATAAACGTGGGCAGGAGATCCTGACTTTGTTTTAATATACAACATAGATGTGTATATGTATGTACTAATCAGTGCCCGTGTGATGCATGCATTTTTTTTTATCTAAATTGCCAATAAGAATTATTGGGCTTTTAAATAATTAATTTGTCCTTATTTAATATTTTTGAACCCTGCCCATTATTGGAAATTATTAAATTTGATCTAAGTTTAATATATTAATAATTTCCCACAAATAATAGTTTAATTAGCTAGTAACTAATTAAACTTTTCTTGTAAACAACAACTAATTAAACTTTAGGGTTTGGTAAAATTTTAAATAACTAAGTAATTCATAAATTTTTGTTTTAGGGGTGGATAAAGGGATTAATGCAACCATAAAACTTAACCAAATTGATGGTTAGGTAATTATAAAATTTTATTAATATAAACTCTACAAGGGGTTTAAGTAAGTTGTCCATTATTTAAAAGTTTTTTAAAGCCTACCCAATGTTTGAAGTTAATTAAATTTAATATAAGTTATATATATATATATATATAATATTATTTCCCAAAATAATATTTAAATTAGTGATTAGTTAAACTTAAGGGGATTATAAAGTAACAATAATTAATTTATTTACGTTATCCACTAAAATACTAAATATGTTATTTTATAAATGGGAAATTGTCTAAAACTCACCATGAGTTTTCAGCATTTCTCTTAAATTCACAACTTTTCAAAATGTCTAAAACTCACCATGTCACTAACTTTTCAATAAAAGATAATATTTTTATAAAATAACAAAAATAAGGTAACTTCTTTTGAAAAATATCAAGGAAGGGCAATGACACTATTCATCGTCTTCCTCTTCCTCTGCCTATGTATTCATCCAATACACTGGATTTGAAAACTCAGTGAATCCAGGCGGTTACTGGTTGAATAGCTCTGACTTTGTTCTGTTCATGATGATGAACAATGTCTGCTAGTTGACACTGTTCGTGATGATGAATAGCTCAAGCAGGGATCATGATGGTGAATCCAGGCAACGTTCTCCTTCGCGGTTGTTGTTCCGGTCTTGAGAGCTCTCACTAGGGGCACAGGCGTTGATACTGTTCTCTTGAAGGGATGTCATATTGTGGATTAGTATCTGGAAGGGCGTTCTGCAATGCATCCATAGTGGTTGTTAACTCATCAGTCTCATAAATCCTTGTTGCGGCTGGAGGATGTTGATGTTGAGGGTCACCAGCATGAGCCTCAGCTTGAGACCCATCACCTGCAAATACAATCTCTTAGAATTTTTTTTAAATGCGAATGTTTGTCCAGATTAGCTGAGCCCTGAAAGGGCCGAGCGTTAGAATCCTCTAAACATCTGTCTGTCTTTCTGTCAAGTGTCTTCATATGGTAGAGAATTCCAACTAGTGTCCCTTATTTCCTTCCTTCTTACTTTATAAGTTTTGCATTTGCTTTTAATTAATGACAAAAAGAAAGAATAAAATAAGAAATAAAAAGAAAATAAAAGTTATACCTAGATCAATCAATCTTAACTTGAAGATGCATTCCGGGTGTTGGAACTAGAGGAAGCTGCATCGTCGTCGTACTTGGGTTGGAGCTAGGCAGTTGGAAGAAGTCACTCCCACTCCCACTCCTGGGTCTTTTTCCTCTACTTTGTATCACATGGCTGCTCGACGGAGTTGGAGAAAACGCGATCGAGTTGATTGGCATTGCTGTGACTTGAGAGTCCACCAGATCGCTGAAGACTCTGTAGCGAGAGTCCGATGCAAATGTGGGGCACTTGGAAAGAGGAAGATGATGAATAGTGCCATTGTCTCTTCTTGATATTTTTCAAAAAAAGTTACTTTATTTTTGTTATTTTATAAAAATATTATCTTTTATTAATATTCAAGGCAAAAAGTTGCCCTTATCAATTAGAACCCCAAATATAAAATATATACAAAATAAATTAACGGGTGTTAATATATTACCATTTTAATATTTAGACATGAAAAAAAGGAAAAAAATTCAAAAAAATATTTTTAAATATAAAATACATAAAAACATAGAAATTACAAAAAATATAAAAAATTATAAAAATTGAAAACAATATAAAAAATTATTTTAAAATTATAGAAACTATAGAAATTGAAAAACAAAATCAGAAAATAAAATTGTAGAAAAAACACAAAAAAATTTAGAAAAACACAGGAATTGCAAATAAATAACAAAAAATACAGGAAACTTTATAGATTGTACAAAACAGAAAATGTAAAAAAAAAACATTGGAAATTATAACAAAACACTAAAAATGCAAAAAAAAACAAGAAATTTT